ATTTTAACATTACATCTACCTTGGTAGGATCTACAACTATCCCTTCTGCCGATATTACATGTCCCAAAAACTGCACCTGGTCTAACCAAAATTCACATTTTGAAAGTTTGACATACAATTATTTCTCTCTTAACACAGCCAACACCGCCCTCAGATGTTCCTGGTGTTCTTCCCGAGTTTTAGAATAAATAAGAATGTCGTCTATAAAAATAACAACAAATTTATCTAAATAAGGACGAAAAATCTTTTCATGTAATCCATAAATACTGCAGGTGCATTTGTTACTCCAAACGGCATGACCACATATTCATAATGGTCATATCTCGACCTGAACACTGTCTTCTGTACATCCTCTCCTTTCACCAGTATCTGATGGTATCCAGATCTCAAATCAATCTTAGAAAAGACTGATGCTCCTTGTAAATGGTATAATAAATCATCAATTCTCGGCAACGGGTACTTGTTCTTGATAGTCACCTTATTTAGTTGCCGATAATTAATACACAACCTAAAGCTCCCATATTTCTTCTTTACTAGCAATACAGGAGCGCCCCAGGGAGATACACTCGGCCGAATGAACTTCTTTTCCAACAAATCCTCTATATGTTTCTTCAATTCAGCCAATTCTGCTGGAGCCATCCGGTATCGTGCCATAGAGATTGGGCCTGAACCAGGAATTAAATCAATCCCAAATTCGACCTCTCTCTGAGGTGGCAGCCTTGGTATCTCATCTGGAAACACATCAAGAAATTCACTCACAACCGGTACCTTTTCCAGGATATTATCCTTCACTTTATCCATCTGAGTCAGGATCAAATAACACTGATCTCCCTCTCGTAGCTCTTTCTGAACCTGCCAAGCTGATGTAATAAGCTCATCTCCTGATTTCGGATGCACCAACCTCTTCTGTCCATAGTCAATCAGAATGCGATTGGTGGATAAACAATTCATCCCTAAGATCACATTCATATCCTTCAAAGATAAACCGATTAAGTTCACCTTGTACTGTCGTCCTTCTACGACAACTGAACACCTCAAACACACATAGGAAGACACCACCAGTCCAGCTGCTGGTGTAGATACCCTCAATTCATAGGGTAGGTCACACACAGGTAACTTAAGTTTATCCATACAATTATTAACAATAAAAGAATGGATAACACCTGAATCAAACAAAACTCGTAAAGGTATATCAGAGATAAAACACACACCTTGCACTAAATTCTCTGACCTTGATGTCTCTGCTCCTGACAAGGCAAACACCCATCCTGCAGTTATGGGTTTCACGTCACTCCCCCTGGGTGTTAATGATGTCCCAGCTGAGACTATAACACTAGGTTTCTGTGGATAGTCTCTAGCCATATGTCCTGGCTTCTGACAAGTGTAGCAAATACCTGCTCGAGAAGTTTGGGAAGGAGTAGTGAAGACATTCTGTGGGCATTGATTCCTGTAATGAGGGCCTCCACATTGAAAACATTTCACCCCGGATACAGATCCCGATGATCGAAGTGCTGGGGTAGCACTGCCACTCTTGGAAGATTGAGGGCGTGAATAAGGCATCCTCCTCTCTAATCTACTACCCCCACTTGGGTGGGTCTTCATCACTCTGACTCCTTCCTCCAGGAGTCTCTTTATTGTCTTCGCTTTCTCCACCAGCTCAGGGAATCTCCTGATAGAGAAAGGAACCACCATGAGCTTGATCTCAGCCCTCAAGTCTTCCTCAAACTTCCTGCAAAGTCACTGTTCTGAAGATGTACATGTGTAAAAACGAGATAAGTGCTCAAATCGTACGACATAATCATGCACTGTCATATTACCCTGTCTCAGACTCATGAACTCAGTCACCTTCTGAAATCTAACACTGTCAGGGAAGTATTTCTCCAAAAATCTCTCACAGAAGGTTTCCCAATTATACACCTCCCCACGTGCAATCATCATCCTTTAAGTCCCTGACCATCAGAATTTAGCCTCATTCACTAGTAAGTATTTCCCGAATGTCAATTTCCTGTCTTTCGGGCATAAGGTATCCTAAAAAATATTCTCCACTTCATGCAACCACTTCTCTGCTGCATCTGGACCCAAATCTCCTTCAAAACGAGGCGGATTATGCCTCATGAACTCAGTCAGCCCCATTTGCTCTGATTGGTGGAATTCAGCAGACGATGATGTCATAGATGACCTCCACTGCGGGTAGTTAGCCTGCTGCTGCATGGCAGCTGCCAACATTTCCATTGCCCTGGCTAGGGCATTTACACTCGGTAGAGTAAGAGTAAGAGTAGGAGTAGGAGGTCGCGGTATCATCCTATATCAAACGCAATCATCAATACAGAGCAAACATTCACACACACTCACATATCAGAGTATAATCACAACAGACTTATCATAGGTTCACTATCCATCCCCACAGATTTACAAGGATACTACCGCTTTGATACCACTATTGAAATGACCCTAGAAATCGCTACTATAATGATGTATTCGCAAAATAGTAAACAAGTAAATAACGACATCTATCTTACATTATATTACTGTAATTATAACATAGATTGAAATTCCGGTTCACTAACGGAACCTCAAAATATAGTAACATAATTTATTTATATATTATACATGTAAAAGTAGCTCCCTCGAAGTTATCCCACTGAACTATCCTTATTGTCCAGTAGTCACATCTCTATCTCTCAACTCTTCATCTGCTCCCACATAAAAGTAATCATCGCAGCCCCATCCACATGGAAAAATAAGGGTAAATATTAAATCATTCGATATAATAAAATAGATATAGAAGTAATAATTATATATTATGATCAATTACGAAATCATCAACACACTAAGACACCTTCCGGAAGTATACCCTAACTATGCCCGAACTCAGAGACTATCATATGTAGGCACATTGTGATTGGCACCCGTAATACCATTCTGATCACTCTCCACACAGAGTAGGATTACTGGCGCCCTTCATCACTCATACTGGGATACCCCTCCGAGCGCGCCACCAGTCATCCCCTCATCGACTTCTCACCACCTGATCTCGTAGTCTACCTGACCCGACCAATCAGTGAAGTCTTGGACCTCATTCAGAATCCTCCGACATAGTTATTACACTAATGTACTTTGTACCATCCCGGGTACCATTCAAACATAATAAAAATCATTCACATTTGTCAGATTCTGGACCACCTATCCTCACGACTCATTCAAGTCAATAAATAATAGTATGTGACTGATTCTGGGCACCAACCCTCCGTCTTAGTCTGGCCAATACATAACATCATATGATTGATTATGGACATCAGCCATTAGACTCAGTTTGACCTACACACGTTACAACACACTACTAAATCTTTAAAACTACTACATTCATTCTATATTTTAAATATATATATTTATATATATATATATATATATATATATATTCTTCTTCTTCTTCTTTTTCCGAAATCATTTCCGAAATCTTTTTCGAAATCATTAAATTACTATTTTGCCCTTAATCTTTTCTAAAAATTTCATGTATGTCCCTAAATGACTATTTTACCCTTGAACATTTTCAAAAATTCCATTTATGTCCCTAGGATGTAAAATGATTATTTTATCCTTGATCTTTTTAAAAAATCTCCACCATATCCTTTTCTTCTTCCTTCGCCCAGTTACAGTATCAGATTTTGCAGATTTCAAATTACTCTGTTTTAGACAACCAAACTAGTTCCAAATTCAAATTAAACATGACTTATATCTAATTTAAGTTGAAAACAACAATTTTATCATATAATTCATCCTTAATTTCAAGAATTTCAACAAAATTTCAAGTTTTGCAAAACATGAAAAATCTTCAAAATCAATTATTCTAATGTTCAGATTTCCACTCTTATTCCTTATTCACAGAGTACCCAGCAATTCAATTTTATATATTGAATGAATTAAACTTCCCTTACCTGGTGTGGTATTTTTACCGAAGTTTTCTCACTTAATTCAAACTGTCTCCTGTTTCACCAGATCCTGCAGGAGTAGAATATCGTTGCTTGAATTTTAGACAAAAGAAGAAGAAGAATGAGGAACACGTGATATGGGAGGAAGAATTTCTTGCTATAACCTTTCCTTCCCCCTTCGAACATATAAAAGAATTTTTTTTTACTATGCATGAGGAAAACTTCGTTACGAAATTTTCTTGCACAGTAATATTATTAAAAAAAATCATACGTCACATGGATAGCTATTTAGAACTCGAAGTACCAAACTAAACTTAATTTCTTTGTCCCCTATACTGCCTTCTGATAAAATTATCATCTATTGATTCGTTTCAAATTTAGATGTCTTTGGTTGTCATATAACTTATTAATTGATATTTGTAGTTGTCATTAATGATTTATGTCGCTTGTTCAAAGATATTACATGATTTTGTCTACTAATGGTACAGTCGCAATTTTTTTCTTCTTAAAATTAACATATATTATTTCATAGGAGGTTACAGAAGACAATATATGAGGTTTTGACTTTATTTTTCAAGAATTTTATTTTTGACTCACTGTCCTTATTATATATCAAATTGTTTGCAATCGTATTTAGTTAGAATCCGTTGTATATTTTTTAGTTGTTAGGAAATAGAAGTATGATTTCAAGTTTCATATTTGGTAAGAATAGAAAAGTTGAGTAACATAAAAGGAATAATGACTCATAATCCAATACTTTAAGATTTTGAGTTCAGAGTGGTGTCAATTCCTTATATGGGTTAGGCTCATATCTCATTGGTGTGTTTCTTCCTTGTGAAAACCCCTTTAAAAGATCCAATAAGTGGTATCAGAGCTGAAGGTTGATCGGCAGTAGGACAAAGTCGTTTTTGTATCGAAAGTCTTCTTGACAGAGTGGGTCAAGTAAGCGTGTCCTGTTAGAGTAAACGACGGTACATGAAAGGATCACTAGTGAGCTCGAGGGAATATACCAAGTATGAGTTAAGTCCTACGTAGTACATGGAAGGATCCCGTTAGAGTGAATGACGGTACATGGAAGGATCACTAGTGAACTCCAGAGAATATACCAAGTGTGAGTTAAGTCCTATGCAGTACATGGAAGGATTACTAGTGAGCTCGAGGGATACTTTCTTATATATTGCTCAACTTTCTCATTTTTACTCAATGTGTGAGTCTCTTTACATTGGTACATCTCCTTAAGTTCATTAGTGGTCCTTGAGTCAAGTAAGTATGTTCTGTTAGAGTGAACCGTGGTACATGGAAGGATCACTAGTGAGTTCGAGGGTACTTACTTATGTGTTGCTCAACTTTCTCATTCTTACTCAATGTGTGAGTCCCTTCACATTAATACATTTCCTCGAGCTCACTAGTGGTCCTTCCATGTACCGTCATTCACTCTAATGAGACACATTTACCTGACCCACTTTGTCAATAAGACTTTCAATACAAAAACCATTTTGTCCCATTGCCGAGCTCACTAGTGATCCTTCCATGTACCGTCATTCACTCTAATGGGACACGTTTATCTGACCTACTTTGTCAGGAAGACTTTCAATAGAAAAACCATTTTGTCTCATTGACGATCAACCTTCAGCTCTGATACCACTTGTTGAATCTTTCGAGGGGGTTTTCACAGGGGAGAAGCACACCAATGAGACATGAGTTCAACCCATATAAGAGATTTACACCATTCTCAACACAAAATCTTAAAACATTGGGTTATGAGTTATACTTTCTTATATATTGCTCAACTTTCTCATTCTTACTCAATATGAGACTTAAAATCACATTTGTATTTACTAACAATTTTCCTTTCAAGTGTGAATTACGTCACATTAGTAAATTCTCCTCAAACTCATTAATAGCCCTTTCATATATCATCGTTCACTCTAACAGAACACGCTTATCTAACTTAATGTGTGAGAAAGAATTTCGATATAAAAACCACTTTTAACTCTCATCTCCATGTGAATTCTCCTTAAAAGACCCACCAATAGTTTTATCGGGTGGATCACGCACTCTTCTTTGTTAGGTAACAAACGATTTGCTAACTTTGAACACTCAATCATTCATTTGTTGGGTATTATTTTCTCAGTGGATTTGAACCAACTACATCACCAGGACACCTTATACTGATTTTTTGTTCCTTTAAATTACCAAGAATAATGCAAATAATACATTTATCTATTTTTACTACATTGGTTGTTTATTTTTGGTCAAAAAATGAAAAATAAGCAAACTGAAAAATCCTGCTAGACCTTATTTACATTGGTCGTATGGTAGACCATTTATTTTATCTTATTTTATTTTAAAAAGACCATTATTAGGAGGAAATGAACTGACAGAACGGTCGGAAACAGTTTTTGTATTTTCATCTTAATTGTAAAAAATAAAAAGAAAGGGTTTTGCATATATGTCTCAGTTCCAGTGCGCACGCCAAAATTTTGAATTTTGAAATTCGTGTACGCAAATCGACTCCGCTAGTGAAGAAGCATGTATTCGACTTCAAGCCAGTTCGACGGCAACGCAGCCTTCTCCGGCGGCGGATTTATGCCTTCTCAGACCACTCAAGGCACTGACCCTTCATCGGTTTCATCCAAGGTCCCTTCTCCTTTCTTTTTCCTTTTCATCATACTCCATATTCAACACTAAATAATACCTAGGGTTTTAAGTTATATTTTATAATTCATTGTTTTTTTGTAGAATCGCGATGCTCAGTCCTTGCTTCCTCTAACAGTGAAGCAAATATACGATGCGTTTCAGTCAAGCGATGATAAAGTCACTTTGACTGTTGACGGTGTGGACGTTAATACTGTGCGTTCTCCTTGAATTGTAGTTTGTAAATTTGGTTAAGGTTTTTGTGGTTCTGACAATTTGAGTCCAGGTTACTCTTATAGGAAGGGTGTGCAACAAAGCTGGACGAATTACTGATGTTACTTTTGTGCTTGATGATGGTACTGGGAAGATTGAGTGTCAAAAATGGTAATTGTTGTTAAATTTGTCTTCTTTACATTATGATTTTGTTATAATCACTTTTTCTTTTGCACCATTTACTTTTGGTAGTGATGAGTTCTTGTTTATGTGCAGGTTTCAGGAAGCTGCTGATATAAATGAAGCAGAGCCTATCTTGTAAGCTACTTTAATATTGAGTATGCGTGTCGATTTTCATTTTGTACTTAAGTTCTGGTCGAATGAAAATTCTCAATAAATATTTATAGGAAAATAAAATAAAGGAGATGAAATTAATTAAATTTCTTTTATAAATTCAAATTAGTTTATATATAAGCTAATTTAGAAAAATTCTTTCTTTTAACTTTTTCAAAAACTAATTTTAATTTAAAGATGTTTAATTCATTTAACTTATTTTATTCTGTTGTGTGTGTTTACAAAGAATTTATTTTAATAGGGTCTTAAGACTATATTTACTTCATCAGTTTTTAAACTTTTATGTTTAAGTATTGGGAAGAATGGTTTTAATCACTTCCGTTTTATCAATAGTTTTTTCTTCTCAATACTATATGTTTTTACTTGTTTAATTCAGAAAGAAAATGACATGTTATGAATAAATTGTTACTACTGAAATGAATAAAAAAGGAGAAAGATACAGAAATATGTTCGTTTTATTTATTTTTCTGCGAGAAAATAAGCAGATACCTTCAACTGATCATTTTGCTCATGTTGTGTAGTGTTGTTCTTTGTTTGCATCTGTATCTTTTTCTTTTTTAAGACGATTAATTTCATATAGTATGTACTAATATCCTAGTTTCATTATTAGGGACGGAATGTATGTGAGGCTCCATGGACACTTGAAAAATTTTCAGGGTAAAAAGACCTTTAATATTTTCTCTTTCAGGTGTGGTAAAAAGTTTACCTATGACTTCTTATTTTAGCAGTTCAATATTTTATATTGTCTTGGATATCTATCATAATCACAATTAAGGATGGTTATCTTCTTGTCTCAGTGATTTGTGGCAGACCTATTATTTTGCTTACAGTTCAATATTTACCTTACTCCGCTGTGTCATTTTCAGGCCTGTGACTGACTTTAATGAGGTTGCTAGTCATTTCATCGATTGCATACATGTGCATCTCTACAATTCCAGGGTTCGGGTTAGTTGTGATATTGCAAATTTTGTTTGTGTACGACGTGATATGAGGTGCATATGTCGTTATGAATACCATACGCACATGTGCATTCTAATGTTTCACGTGGTTACATCTTCAGAGTAGTGTCCCCAGTCAGCAACATGTTATGAATTCCACGCCAATTACTCACAAAATGGGTTATCAATCTCAAGTTGTTCCACCAACTAATCAGGTAAGAGTCAACCATACTTTTCTATTTTTGTTTCATTTTTATTTATATAACTCCTTCGATACTTTTTATCTGTAGTTCTCTGATCACCATATCAATGGTCAGAAGAGTGTTGAGAATATGGTCTTAGATTTTCTGCATCTTCCCACCAACAGGTATGTTTTTAAATGATGTATTTTATGTTACCTATTTGGCTGTTATTGAGCATGTAATCAACTATTTTGTTTTCCTGAATGTTGGTTTACCCACTGATTTATGTGCATGCCTATCAAAATTACCTTTGTTAAATATTGTGAACCTTCTGCATTGTCTGCTCTAGAAGTAGAATAAGGACTTTTGTAATAGTTCAATTTGAAGCGAGGTTGTAAAGAGATTTTTTAGGCTAAATTAGTTTTTATCCTTTTTTTTTTTAAATTTATTCATTTTTTTACGTAAGAATAAATTCTGAACATCTTAAACATGTCAAACAATTTTTATAAAACATTGTTTAAATTCTATAATAACCGGAAGCAAAAGAACGAAACGTTTAGTCATTGTGTTTGTGTCATGCTCTGCATTCAGTCCATGATGCTGTTGTATCTTCAAGAGAGAAAAACAGATTTAGTGACCTGAAACAGAGCATATGTGAATGTGATGTTATAGTGCTCTAAGAGTTAACCAAAAAGAAATCCTCATAATATCGCTATCAAAATATTAACCATTATTAACCATCTTTATAATAGATTGAAAATATTGAACAAAACATACATAAGAGTTAAATTCCTAAAATGCTAAAGATAATATTAAGAGAAAATATGAAGATTTTATGGTTAAAATAATTGTCAAAATATGCAATGTGACCCTTTTCATCTATTTTCCCGTTACAAATTTACCCTGATAGTGACGTGTGTGTTTTTCATTAGATTATTAGGCTAACTTTGTTAATGAGAAAACATGAACAGGGCATACATTGGCAATTAAAAGACTATATTGAACATTTTTTATAAAGGAGACACCAAGTCGATAAAAAAAAAAAGAGATCAAAATTGTAATTTAACCTATTTTTATGAATAAAATTAAATGATTGAAAATGCATGTTAAAGAATTGTACGTTTCTACTTTCGAGTGATTGTACCTGGCACAAGTTGGCAAACTGGCATCTTGAGCTTATAATGTGAATGAGCAAGTTTTTTGTCATGATTTTTGTTGGTATTCCTTGAATTTCGACTGGGGTTGGACAATGTATCCTTATATATTGTTATGACCAAAATACAAATCCAAGAATGTCGGATGTTCTTTGTTAATTTTCTCTATTTCTAAAACTACAGCGAGACTTATTTGAGATCACAATGCACCAAACTCACAAAGGGAAGTTTTATTATACTGCTATAAATCTAATTACACTCTATGAAAATAAATTCCTGGCTTAAATGGAACAACGAGATAAAAGTTGCGTGGAAGTAGCAAAATGAAAATGTTAAGATAGATGTCTTGACTCATAAGAAAAGATGAATTTCATAAGGATTGTATATGATGAGATATTGACGTGCCATCAGTTAAGAATATGATAGAAAATCAATCAAAGTTGGTCTTGGACACTTACAAAGCAGGTTGTAAAAAAATCACTAGACAATTACCTCTTGATGAATTGGTAAAAATCAAAGGTTAAAAGTAAGATCTCTTTAAACAGTTGGATTAATCTCCGTAAGGACAAAATATTTTCAAAAAGAACTTTCATTTTATATTACAATCAATTCAATGAGATAGATTGTTCTACTATTTCATAAAACAGTTGTTACAATACCGAAGCACAATGCAATATCAAGAAAGTTATACATACGCAGAGACTTACTACAAAAACACATCAAACCTAGGTGTATAATCCTCAGAATGCAATGACAAAGAAAGAAAAAAGACCACCTGACTTGTGACAAATTTTCTAAAAGAACAGAGCAGAGAGAATGAGGAAAACATCTAATAGAGCTTCAATGTGATCCTGATGAAAGATCCACTTTCTTGCAAGAAGATTTCTCATATTTTGCTTAGGCTCAGAGCAGAATAAAAATGAACTCTTTTTGAATTGTAAGTATACGGTCTGAATGATTGTATATAAGATTTGATGCGAAGAAGAAAAAATGAACTCTTTGAATTGTATCTCAAACATTCATGCAAAAACAATAACAAGCAACCTTATATATCATCTGCTAAGTACAACTTCATCAAAATAAAACTACAAAGATCTTCGTCCTCAAGATGTAGAACACTAGTGTTTTCATGGATTAAACCGAGGTTATTAAAAGAACTAGTCATAAGTAAAAAGTGCACGAATTTTAGTCCTGTAAAAGTAGAGAGGATACTGGAAAATAAAGTGGAGTTATAAAAAGCCGCAGACGACCATAGTTAATAAAGTTTGCACTTGTTCTTTAGTTGCATGGGTTGAATATTGTTTGGTATTCACGACTTATCATTCTGATATTGATGTTTCAGGTCTAGGAATGAAGGAGTCCATCGTGATCTTATTGCACAGCATCTTGAAATTTCTTTGGATAAGCTCATGTATCTCTCCTCTCTCTCTCTCTCTCTCTCTCTCTCTCTCGTAATCTTGTTGATTCTCATTGAATTCCTCTGCAGGGTGGCTCTTAAAAATCTTATCGATGAAGGTGCCGTTTATGAAACTATAGCTGATCACTATAAGTCAATCATCAACGGTTGATATCTTGTTGGACAATGGCTTCAATTTTGTCAGAGTACGCGCAATTCTGCGTTGCATTCTTGTGATGCAACACAAGCAAAACAGCAGTTCTGCTACACTTAGATCAACTTGTCTTTCTTTCTCACAATAACTATATACAAAAAGTATGAACTGTTAATAGATAACAAATTTACCGTGATATGGAATGTATCTATTGTGGCAAGTGTTTCTGTTTGATTGACGAAGATTATCCAGTTTCAATGGTTATAGTTATTGTAGTGGCCCGTGGATGTAATGAGTAGGGATGCTTTAGAGCGACGAGCTAATGGGCTTCATTGCAAAATGCTACTCTTTGAACGTGTTTGTTAAAATCCTAATATGGGCCGAGAGTTGGGCCCTTCTTGACACGACTACGTGTGTTTAGCCTTTTAGCCAAGCTTTGAAACATGCACGCCGGTGTGAATAAGAAATAGATACTTAAGGTCATAATAGTAGTAAATCATAATGAAACTTAAAAAAGTCCCGTTTGCACATCCATTTGTTGAGTTTTTAAAGTTTACAACAATAGATAATATAATGAAATAGGAATTAGTGTAATCTTTTTTAAAATATCAAAAGTTAATATAGGATTGGAAAGATGAGTAATTATGCTATATATCAAGAAGTAAAAGTAAACAAATTATATTAAGACGAGAATGTATAGAAAGTTAGAAAGTGCAGAAGTTGTGAATGTAGAAGGGGGTAAATTATTAAGTGGAAGTAGCAGATTACGAAGGCGCCAGCATCACGTGTGGTTCACTCCACCACAACTTCCACCGCCCTCTTGGTCTTGTTCCTGAAATGGCACGTGGAAACAGAGCTCTTCCTTCTCAAGTCACGTGCGGAGGTGGTGGTGGATCATTTTTCAGTATACGGTAGACCTCTCAAGACGCCACGTGCAATCTAATTCTCTCTGTTTGACCCTCATCCATGTGAATGCACCGTTTTCACTCTGCCTCCTTCATTATTGCTTTTAGTTTTTTAGTATGAATTATATTCTCTAAAGTTGCGACCCTCATGCCGAATCCGACTTTTTGTGTTAAGCTTTTTATTATGTTAGCATGTATATAATGCATTCTAGAATAAGATTGGAAAAACGCCAAAACAAAATATTTCGAGGGGCTAACAACCCTCTCGATACACTTGTGATATCTCTTATTTTGTAATAGAATCCTAATCAACCACACGTATTGTGAATCTTGAGTTGGTCCTACCTTTATGTCTCACATCGTGTAGGATCAGACACCGGACCTTTCTCCGAACCGAGAATGTAAGAATAATAATTTAAACAACCCAACCATATAAAATAAAAAAGAGAATTGGGACACTAGAATAGAAAGGAGAGGAAGAGATGACGATGATGAAGTAATAATAGTAATAAAATAGAAATTAAGATATAGCAGCGAACGTGAGGAATGATTCGTTTCTCTGACCCCAAACTACACTCTGCAATGCCTTTCCACAACAAAGTTTGACTGTTTGGCAAAGTATTCGGCCTTGAATTAAAGAAATTGGCTTTTAGTAGCCAACTGTCCCCCCATTGCTTACTTTATGTAACAAAATCTGTATGTTTGTGGCCATTTTTTAAGTCCCTAATTATTAGTTTAATCACTCCCTTTTCTTTTTACTGCAGATTTGAAGGGAATAATCAACCCTCAATGCCAACACTCTCCCACTCCCGCCGAACTCTCTGCCAATCTCATATACACCCTCTACTCTTTCTTTATTCCCTACAAATACTTCACCATTATGTAACCTTTTCTCTTTGTTTTTTAGGCCTTTTTTTCTTTCTTTCTGCATTCTGATTGCTTAGTGTAAAAGCATTTTTAACTCTTATACGTGTTTTGAGGACTTCCCTGTCTTCTGCTCCCCACATTTTTAGTAAATTCAATTGTTTTTCACTACCTAATCTCTATTCCAATGTTTCTCACCATCTTTTTTGTCCTTTTCTCACATGTGCAATGTGCAATGTGAACGTGAGCTTTGCTTGGGTTGCACTCTGGATTGGTGATTGGTGATTGGTGCTGTAGCTGAGTCACTATAAGACACTTTCTTTTTGGTGGCGATTCAGACAAGTGTCCGCATCGTCCGGGGTCAAAGTGTCCTTTCGGGAGCCAGCCACCATGTTTGTTGCATAATTCTGCTTCACTTATTCTATAATTGCGATCAATCCATTATTCTAATCCTTCCGTTTAAAAACACTGCCATCTTAATCTCAATTTTCCTCACTCACCTTTGATCTTCCTCAAGTGACACATATGTCATCATCAAATGCATGCCAACTTAGTCGTATATAACACCACTCAAACGTGATTTTCTTGAATACTTTTGCTTACTTAATTAATCATCACTCTTCTGTCTCTAGTTTCCACTTATAATAATCTTTTTATTCATAATGTAAGATCCCACCAACAGTGTCCTCAGATTCATACTTCGGACAATGTAGATAAAGTTTGCTAGATTCAATCATACTAGTAACATGATTCATTTCTAAATTAACAATAGATTTACCAAACACAATTTTCCAATTTTTTTTATCAAGATTAATTAACCTCATCACGGATAATGTAATTTATTACGAAAATCTTGACTTGCTAATAAGAAAAAAAGTGCCAACAACATGACTTACACTCAACTAAATTGCTAACAACATTCGTATAAGACTTGAATACTCAATCTTATCTAACTCAAACATGATCATTGTAAATAAATGATACACTCAAAAGTGAGGAAAAAAAAAGTGTACAATCTATATTATTCTTTCGTTAAATCCAGATAATAAAGATAACTCTTTTTTTTTTAATTTCCTTTAATTTCTCAGTACATTCAAACCTAAGGAGTTATGGATGCGTGCTAAAATATAAGTTACTGTGTTCCATAAAATTTAGACAATCGTTCTTGAGTTAATTATTGCAAATAAATTAGTTGTATTTTGGTTATTGTATGTATGATGCACCTAATCTTATAATTGAATTACTTATAAAAGTGTAATTATGCTAATTTTGTATGCTTTAAACGTAGAATCCTTCACCTAATTGTAATAATGGGTTGAAGGTAGCGAAGTAGTTATTTACGCCAAAATGTGGAACTGATTATGGAGATTGGATGTGTCTGATGAAAAAGGAGAGATGCATGGATTGCTTCTTCACCCTCCTGCTGAGCTGTGTAAGCATGATTCAATACTCACATGCAAACATTATTTTGGCCGGAAGGGATAATGCCACTGCATGCAGACAATTATTTTTGTTTCATTGAATCATTTTTTTATAAATATTTATGGGAAAAGAAAAACAATAAATAAATAAAATTGTTTTTGTGTAAATTTAAAACAAAACGCATTCGTGTGGATAATTTTTACCCAACCATTTATTTTTTATCAATTGATAATAACTTGTGTTTATAAAATTGTGAGCAAATATTTCTTAGATAATGTGTTTCTCACATCTATTATGTTATTTAATGCTTTATAAAAGAATTACTTTTATAAGTTGCTCCAGAAAATCTCAACTTACTGTTTTTGGAAATCTTTTCTATTTTCTTAATCTTTTTAATGGTGAAACTCCGATAAAATTTTGTCTTTTTTTTTATGTGAATAAAAACTGAATATTACAAATAATGTCAAAAAGAGCTAATAAAATCTTATATAACACATCTTTTTAATTAATTTGGATCATTATTAGATTAAAACAATAAATTGATGAACATAGGATATGTATTTAAAAGAGTTATAAAACTTATATAATATTTTTCTATAAGAAATATTATTTATATTATCTCTTCTATTATACCAAATTTTTATCTGAAGTTTTTATTTCACATTTTTTTTTGTATACAAAATTGCAACAAAAATATTATATACAAATACAATGTTCCTATTTAAATTAAAAAATTATATGTTTATGTGACAAATGTGTGTTTAAAAACTCTCGTTTTATTCACACAGAACAAAGGTTACACTGCAAAACCAGAAAACTTAGAGATGAATGCTGATTGATTTGAAGGTGAGTTTAGTTAACCAAAGTCATACAGACGCACGCTCAAATCTATTAAATGATAATAGACTTTTGGTTATATTTTTTTATTGTTATGATATTTAATGTAGTCTTAATTCAACTTTACATAATTACTTTAGATCTTGATAAAGATTTTTTATCATAATCTTTGACTAAATCTTAAAAATAATAAAATAAATAACTTATTTTTATAAAACATCAATTCAATAAAATAAGAATTATACTAATATATATATATATATATATATATATATATATATATATATATATTATATCTATAATTGATATAAGATTTCACCTTTTTAGGTAATATAGATTTCAGTGGAAAAGTATGACTCTTTAGAATTTATGTATAAAGGATTAATCCCTCATTTATGCTGCATGAAAACCATATGTTTCATAAACTTTGATCATCATCTAAAAAATTGTATTTTTAAAGGTGTAGAGTTCGTCCCAGAATAAAACTAACTTGTCTCAATTCATTTATTATTAATTGATGCCAGAAAGAGTCCCTAAACAGTATTTATGTCCACCTTCAATCTGACAAAATCGCCAATATTTTCCAAAAGTAGAATGATCCTGTCGGTACATTTCGAGTTTTTCTGTTGTGTTCTCTTCATTTCTTTGGTGTCTTTCTTCTCATTCCTTTGCTTGTTTCTTAGCGGAGAGGAATTATTGTTTACACGATTGAAGAATATCTTTGGGTGGAGAAGGAGAAGCCTCTCACGTAATTTTGATTAGACAATAATTTCATTAACTACCAAAATTCACGTCATGCATCTAATAATAGAAACCATGTTTGCCTCAACACGTGCAATTTTGATGCCATATATCACTAACTATTCATATTCTCCTATCTAATAATTCAAACATCACATGAATTCCAACGCCATGTGATAAGCGATTTAGGCTATTCAAACATCATATGTCTCCAATTTTAAAATTATTCTTAAAATTACAATTATCATAAAAATGTGTTATCGTTTAAATTACCGTGTACTTGTTTTTACGTGAAATCAGAAGAAAAACACAAGTGTTCAACCAACTCTGCTGCTCGTTTATATTTCTCTTACATGTTTTCTTTTATATATTTACTGATATTAACTATTAATCCTAGTGAATGTATGTCACTAATTACCATGTGCAGTTCAATTTTAAAACTTTAATTATGGGATATTTTCAAAATAGTTTTTCTTATTACGAAGCACATGATTATGCAATTTCGCCCTGAAATTTTCGACCTTCAATGGTGTTTAATTTAGTTTATTTTAATTAAGCCTAATTGAGATTAGACATGCATGAAGAAATGACCTGAAAAAAGTCTAGGTTTAGCTTCAGTAAAATTCAAAACTGTTTTTTTTTGGGGGATTCAAGTAGATATCTTTAACTCTACTTATTTAAAAATAGTTTTTAATTTTTTTTTTAAACGGAGTTCAAGTGATCTTTAAACATATTGCTTTGAGAATTTCGAGTAAAAATAATGTTAAGTTAAGTGATTAACTAAAGAATTATTGATAAATATTTCTTCGACACTTTTTTATTCATATTGTTAATACTAAATTCATATTATTTAAATGGATAATAATTTCAAATCTACTAGAAAAATTATATTTTGTTCAAAATAACGACTTATTTTCTATTATTTTCTTAACCTAAGCTGTTCATCAATCTATTATAATATTTAATATAAAGTTAAAAAAAACAAGTTATTTAAATGAGTTAAACACATTATTTACATTTTTATTATTTTTTTGTCTAAACCATAAAATTGGGTTCGAATTTCAAATTAAAAAGTAAAAAAATAAAAAACTATTGTATTTAAATATAATATTATATATATAGAGAGAGAGTTAATTATTAATCAATAAATATAATTTTATAATTTGATTATTTTATTTATAATAATATTTATATTTATTAAAATATAATGAAAACTTTGAATTGTATTTTTTTAATTATAAAACTGTATGATTTTTTTATAAATACAAGAGACATAAACATCATGAATATGAAGATAATTATAAAAAAATTATAATATATTTTTTTATTTAGTAATTTTTTTATAAGTATTTAATAACTTTTTTAAGATAATATTTTATAATTTTTTTTATTTAGCAATTTTATAATAAGAAAAATTGTAACACGATACAAATGAATCCTAGAGGTTGATTTGATTCAAGTTTTATACTAATTTAGAATCGAATCACAGTTAATTAAGATACTTTTAATAAAAAACAAAATCAACTTAAAATTGTATATTTTAAAAAAAGTATATTTAATTTTTTATTTTTTAAATAATAACAATTTCAAAATTAAATATATAATTCATTATAAATAATCATGCATCAACTTGTTTAACTACTCTAAGCGAAACTTTAAATTCAATGATTAAAATAAGTTAATAAAAAAATAATTTAAAATTAAATTAGAACTGATCATAATTCGTGGGTCAAATTGATTTGTTTACTACTTACAATTTTGTATTTTATCATTAATCATCCTATACTATGTGTTTTGTCTTCAAAATATTTGTTATAAGAATGTTTAGGTTAAAAAGATACTTAGATACATAACATTTAAAATCAACTTTTTTTGTCTAATGAGACAAATTAAAAAAAAAAGTAATTTTAAACTTAAAATTTAAAATTGAGGAATTAAAAAAATATTATTTTTCAATTTTGATATAAAGTTACATATCCACGCCTCCCTGTAGACTTGCTTCCACTAAATTTTTATCCATCCTCCAAGAATGTAGACTCTTATAATAATGAATTTTTATTTGTTTATAAGTATATTGAATTGAAATTGAAAAAAAAAAAAACCATTTAATAGTCTTACACATGTTTCAAGAAACCATTAAGCATGTTTTCATATTTATTTTGACACATGTAATTTATTTAATAACAATAAAGGGTGAATTTATTGTCCTAGGTCCATGACATGACCTTAGTAATGGCATCTCAATGTCCACTGGTGCCCATACCTTACCAAACTCTGCCTTTGGTTCTGTCATTACCACTCTATTTTGTTTCTTTGCATTCTCTGCATTATGTGTCAACAATCTACTTTATTTAATATTTTGTAAATTTTCCCATAAAAATTAAATTCAAATATTAAAATACTGTGTTAGTTTAACTTTTCTTTTTAAGAGAAAAACTCAGCACATATCAATTTTCTTGAGAAGGCATAATCTTGTTTTGTTATATAAAATTACATTATTTATTTTACCATTACACTACTTTGTGTTTATTTTTAATGCAATAATTGTGAAAACAATGTATAACGCTATACTACTTCAACTTCAGTTTCTAAAAAGTTCACTTTTTTTTTTTTTTTCATCTAAAACTGTCTCAAATTAATTCTTAATAACCTACCGTGGTTAGATGATATAAAGTAATGTTTAATAAAAAAAAATGTTTGAGTAGTTAAAAATTTTGTTACACCTGTAATGGTGCGAGTCTTTAAATTTTGAACTTTGTTCTTTAAATTATCTTTAACAATATTCTAAAAAAAAGAAGTGAAAATGATATAAAGATTGATATAAAATGAAAGTAGTAGGGTTTGAGAGGAGTATGGGCGGGAAGAGGGGACATGGAAGGAGTCAAAAGAAAAGGGTTGTGTTATGCTGCTGCGCTTTAAAAATCGCCACAAACAAACAAATAAACACGCCATTGTGGAAAAATATGACTTCAGATGTCATTATTTCAGAGAGTTTATCTTCGTAGAAGCCACCATATTTGATCATTAATTTGGCTTAATTTACAGAGATGCCCAGAATTGCTTCATTTTGTGTTGTTTATCTCTTTTCTGTTTGAAGAATTTGGATGATCACACATTTTTTTCGATTCTTGTAAGAGAAATTGAGTGGTGCATAAAGAAACAAATGAATAGTGAGAGACCAAGCATGTTCAAAACTTTATTTTTGTGGATTGAAGAAATGGTTCAAGGCTCACCCCGTTATGGGTGATGGGTCACCGTGTCCCCCTCCTCTTCCCTCTTGCTTCCCTACAATCATACAATGAACATCACTAACACCCAATGCTACATCATCGTATCATATCTCATTATATAATTCCTTTACGTTCATGTATTTTATATCTAATCAATCTTGGTATTATTTCATTGTACACTATGCCCTACGCTAATTCACCCATAAATATCTCTTATACCCATACTTTTATTGCGTGGTAGTTTTGCCTCGCATCAAATTTCCGTCTCTATCCTCAAACAATGCTTTTTCAATCTTCCCCCAAGTCAGACTGCGACCGCCCATTCTTCCTGTAAAAAGTATCCACTTTGCATTCCTATTGTTTTTTTTTTTAATCTTTTCTCTCCCTCCTCATTAATTTCTTCTCAAAATTCTTCAAATTAAATTAAATGACCTTCTTGGTAACAGTAATTTATAGCGGTGGAGATCAAATACAAATTTAGATCAAGCAAAATATATACACTATTATAATAATATCATACAATATGAATATTGACACTTAAATTTGAATCGGACTCTACATATTTGTCGGTTGCAGAGTGAAGATTATTTTATGGATATGTTAGGAAAAAGATACATGCACACACATGCACGGAAGGCATGGGCATTTTATGCATTCATGAATCATATTTATATATACTTAGTTATTATTACTAACCTTATAGTAATAATAATAAAAAAAAGAGTGAATATATGATAGCATAGAAATGTCACTGTTGTGTGGCATATCTATCTACAGCCATCCTAAGAGAAAGAACCTCGTTTTTGGTGAACCCTAGAAGCAGCTGAGTTGAGTTGAGTCTCTCTCTTAGACCACCTCTATATCTGTGTCATAATCTCACCCCTTCTTCTTCACCTCTCTCTTTCCCTCTCCCAAATAGATTCTATAAGATCGCAGTTTCCAAAGAACCCAACTGAAGTTTAAACCCCATAATCTCTCCTTCACGTTCATCGAAGACCACACAACACAACATACCATCCAAACCAAAACCATGGACTCTTCTTCGTCACCGCCAAACAACAACAACAACTCCCTCGCTTTCTCTCTTTCCAATCACTTCCCAAACCCTTCTTCCTCTCACTTGTCCTCTCCTCTCTCCCTTTTTCACTCCTTCTCCACTTACCCATCTCTCACTCTCACAGGTTCCCTTCCCTTCTCTCTCTTTCTCTCTACTCCTTGATATATTTATTTACTTTCTCTCACTATATTGTCATTTTATATCTTCCAGGCAGCAGCAACACAGTTGAGGCAGCAACGGAGGCAGCCGCAGGCGGAGGAGCCACCAACCTCTCCATATTCTCCGGTGCCCCCAAGTTTGAGGACTTTCTTGGCGGTTCCGCCGCAGCAGCCAACACCGCCACGGGTGCACCGCCACAGCTTCCACAGTTCTCCACCGACAACAACCTGTATGATTCGGAACTGAAAACAACTATAGCCTCGTGCTTTCCTCGCGGCCTCGCTGCCGAACCAACAGCCGAAACTCAGAAACCCTCTCCAAAGAAAACAGTCGACACCTTCGGCCAACGCACCTCCATCTACCGCGGCGTCACCCGGTATCTTATTCATCACCACACTACCTTTTTATTTTACCATCATTATTCATTTTAAAATATGTTTTTATTTATTTGTTTTGCTTTGTTTCTTTTTTTCAGACATAGATGGACAGGGAGATATGAAGCTCATCTCTGGGACAATAGCTGTAGAAGGGAAGGACAAAGTAGGAAAGGACGACAAGGTAAATAAATATATTATTGTATTACATGCTAGTTTTAGGTATTATGTGTAGTTGTTGTGTTAAAGGGGTTGGGTCTAACATGCACCCTGCACCGGGGAGATGCAGGCGCAAACCGGGTCCATGAGATCCGGGACTGAGTGCGAAACGGTCCACTGAATGTGACCGGAATAAATGGGAGTAAAAGAATGTGGTTTGCCATTTATAATCCCAATGAAAACCCTTCTCAATGGTTCAGATTGTTCTGCCAGGCCCGCAGCAGCATTAGATTGCCGACTGTGTGTTGTAGTTGTAGTGTGACTAGTGTCATGTCTATCTTGGTTCTACGAAGTGTAACAGTGGGTGGCACAGAACGTGCTTTTTTGGTTTATTTCTTTTTTTCATTAGTTCATTAATGATAATAATATTATTATTTTTGTGGCTGATGTGAGTGAATGGGATGTTGCTGGTGTTAAAGATTCTGACCGTGCTTTCTTTTGTTTCTTTGTGTGGCTTTTGTACCTGGGGAATGATTGCTGACTCGCGGGATCTTTTGCTCATTATGTGGTTTCAGTTTATTTGGGTGAGTATGATTATTACTTCGCAACATTACATGGTTTGGTTTAGACATTGACCTCATCATAATGTTTTACCGTCACAAAGCACATATTCTCTCCCATCTCCTGTTCATTTATGATCATGGCTGTGATTGCGCATTTCTTAGATTCAGATTCTTCTCAAAAATGCTAATCATTTAGTCAAAAAATGACTTTTTTGTTTCTTCCTCCTTTCTGTGTTATAGGTGGTTATGACAAGGAAGATAAGGCAGCTAGAGCTTATGATCTCGCAGCTCTCAAGTACTGGGGTCCAACCACCACCACCAACTTTCCGGTTAGTAGAAGGATAGGATATATACCTTTCGTTTCGTTTCACACCATACGGGTTCATCTTTTTGGTGTATGGGATAAATGTACTGCGTATTATTATGCTACTCTTACTCTAGTTTTACTTAAACCTTCCTTGTTTATAATCTCTGTTGTATATTTATTTTTCTTTTCACAGATTTCCAACTATGAGAAGGAACTGGGGGAGATGAAGAACATGACCAGGCAAGAGTTTGTTGCCTCTCTGCGAAGGTAAAATTACATATTTACTAGTTTGTATTAAAAGCTCAATCGTCAGAATAGTTTTATGGGCATGTTGAATTTATTTTGCTCTCTCCATGTTACAGGAAGAGCAGTGGTTTCTCTAGGGGGGCCTCTATATACAGAGGAGTGACGAGGTTTTTGTCTATCTTGTACTTTTAGGTTTAACGTTTTGTGTCCTCATTTTCATTCCTTTTGACCGCTAGGGGATATCTTTTGATTTCTGAATGAATAAAATAATTTGATTCAGACACCACCAGCATGGTCGATGGCAGGCCAGAATAGGCAGAGTTGCCGGAAACAAAGACCTCTACCTTGGCACTTTCAGTGAGTCATCAATATCTTCCGTATATTCACATCAATTATTGTTTTGTTTCTTGCTTTCCATTCCTCTACACATGTCCTTTTTTGAAAAGGAAAGAACTTCCTGATTTTTATACACACATACACAAAATATAATACTGACAATGAGGTGTTTGTAAAGTACTCAAATGGCCAAATCTCTTGCCACTAGTCTAATTGCATATATTTTTTAATAGTTTATGGATTTGATACTAACAATAAATTAACTTGGGCATTTTGTTTATAATTAGGCACTCAAGAGGAAGCTGCTGAGGCCTATGACATTGCAGCTATCAAATTCAGGGGATTAAATGCAGTCACAAACTTCGACATGAGTCGCTACGACGTGAAGAGCATTGCAAATAGCACACTTCCCATTGGGGGTTTATCTAGCAAGAACAAAAACTCAGCAGATTCTGCATCTGAGAGCAAAAGCCACGAGGCCAGCCGATCCGACGACCGAGATCCATCATCAGCTTCATCCGTAAACTTTGGATCACAGCAGCAGCCTTCAAACTCTACCTTGAGCTTTGCCATCCCCATTAAGCAAGACCCTTCAGATTACTGGTCCATCTTGGGGTACCACAATCCTACCCTCGACAACAGTGGGGCCAGGAACACTACTTGTGTTACTACAACTTCTTTTGCATCTTCCAACAACGGCACTGCTAGTGCCACACCCTTCCAAATGGACTTCTCATGTGCCCCCTCAAGTACCGGCAGTGATAACAATGCCGCATTTTTCAGTGGAGGAGGCATCTTTGTCCAGCAACAAAGTGGTCATGGTAATTGTAATGGTCATGGAAGTGGGAGCAGTGGTTCCTCTTCTTTAAGCTGTTCAATCCCATTCGCCACGCCCATCTTTTCTCTGAATAGCAATACTAGTTATGAGAGCAGTGCTGGTTACGGCAACTGGATTGGACCTACACTGCACACATTCCAATCCCATGCAAAACCAAGTCTCTTTCAAACGCCAATATTTGGCATGGAATGAGCTCATGCACGAGGTAGGATGAGAATCTGTGCATATAATGATGAAAGGGGAGGACAGTGGTGGTGATGGTGTTTTAGCATGCAATGCAATGCAAGGACACACGGACTAGTCTCTTTAGCTGATGCACCATTTGAATGAGTTGGACTGACAGTCATAATTTATGAGAACCGTAGCTATAGCTAGCTGACACTGTACTAACTCAAAGTTCCTTTGTTGTGTTTTGGATCATTTTTCTTTTTTTTTTCTTTTACGCCTTTAGCTTTTTGTCCCTGTTAATATACTGACATCATTTCATGAGTATAATGGGAAGGAAATCCTTTTGTAATCCCTTTCGTCTCATTTTTTTTCGGTTAGTATCAACTTGCCATCCATGCGAAAGGCATTGAATGCCTATATATATTGCTCTACCTTTACTATCCTGTCTTCTTCACTATTTCTGGTAAATTCGCATCAAACGTGGAATAGTTTAGTTTACCGGTTTCTAAATAATATTAAAATAAGAAATGGACTAGTTTTGTAAAAAGGATTTGTGGTTTTAAATTTGACTATATGTGACGCAGCAAGGGTCATTCATTTATCCGTGTTAAATGTTTTTGGTCCATTGGTCATTTATTTATCTCAGAAAAAGCTGAGATTATATTCGTTGAGCTAGCCTCGGGAGAATTTGAAGTCTGGCGTTTATTGTGAGTGCGTGTTTCTTTCTCTTTCTGCTAGACTTGTTTCACATGCAACCACACCTCTCTCTGTACTTTATAGAGTCAGTCATTTGCTTTTACTTTTTACTAGGAAGAAAAAAATAATGATCAATTGTTTCTTTCCAGAAGAGTGCATATTTCTTCAATCCTTCATTTGGTAAAAGGTATATTTTTACTTTAAAAATTGATTTTGAATGCTCATCATAATCTAAGATATAAACAAGTTACATTACCTAAATCTCCACGACTGATTCGCAATGAAAATTTTATGGATATTGTTCTTTTACTTTAGAAAGTAAAATCCAGAATATGACGTGCATGTTTGCATATACTTTTATTCAATCAACAAATTCGTCTAAGATGATACACCGTGAGTTTCGGCGTTTAGGTGGTGTAAGTAATAACAGTTCGCCAACAAAATTGACGTACACAAGTTTTTTAGAAGTCATCGTTTCAAACTGAAATGATATACTCTTATATTTTATAATATTAGTTATGTAATAAAATTGAAAAACACACATTGTAAACCTCTTATATTTCTTAAAACACGTAAATGAATTTTTAAGTTTTTAATATTTCTGTTGTGTTTTACGTTCAAGGAGAACTCAGGTACGCTAAATCTCCTACACAATTTAGCTATGTAGTAGTTAAACCTGATGTTGTCATTAATTAAATTGAGATATTGTAGTTGGTTTTCTTTGTCGCTGCTCGTTTTGTTATAAAATTAGTAGACAAATTAGTTGTAATAATGAAGTATTTGATGATCCTAATGGCCAACCACCAAAACCAAGTAATGTTGTATATACCATCTCAAACTCTATGGGAGAATGTAATAATTGGTCCCATATACTTGTGTACTACTTACATTAGAAAGGTAAGTTCGGGGCCACTAATTATGAGGGGGCACAATTTTGACCAAAAGTTGGATAATCGAAATTCAAAAGTGAAAAAATAAAGTATAACTAGGAAAGATCATGATACTGATACACAAAGGACAGAGACAAAAACCATAATATTGTTAGTGTTGTTGTGAACTTTTTGCAATGGGTCCCTTCCTTTTAGACTAGTTACAACTGGACTTTAGTTTAGAGACACAAGTTCAAAATTTGGAAGAAAAATGGAACGAGAAAAAGGAGGGAATAGAAGAAGGGATCACCAAAGAGAAAAGAGAAAGAAAAAAAAAATGTGTCTTTTCTTGTCTCTTGATGAAGCCTCTAAGAATGGATGATGAGTGAGTGTCCTGTGTACCTTTCGGCGCTTGTTAGATCCTTCCCCACCATGCCCTCATCTTTGACCATTGCTTTGACTATTTCATCTTTTGTTTGAAGCACTACGTTATGCTGAAGTGTACTGAAAATGGAAGCTATAACACGAATACAGTATGTCTGGGACTCATACTGTGTCCAACATTAAATTCCAACACCTTCACCTGAACATGTCTTCTATCTTTTGCCGTGAACGATAACGAAAACAGAGAAGAATATTCCAAAAATTTGGTTCTCTCTCTACCTCTCTGATGGAAAGAGGTGTCACAGAAAAACGGGTACCATGCATGAGCACGAGGGTATCTCTTCACTGGCCAGGTTAAACGCAAGTACAAATTAACCAAATAGTAAAATGATTTTAATTAACCTTTAATGATGCATAAACCACTGAGATCGTGTGGTCACCTTCTATGATGTTTTGCTATCATCATGTATCTTTTTAACTACCATAATAATATCTCTCTCACTATATATAATAGGTCTCCACTTTCAGAGTTTTTTTTTTTTTTCTATCTCAAAATATTTTTTCATTTTAAAATTAAGAAAACATTACTTTCACTAATTAGTGTTTCAGCTATTTTTTTAAAAGCTTAAATGAATTTACAATTATAAAGTAGTGCTTTTGTTAACAACCATTTTACTATAAAATTGTGTAATTAATATACATTTTTTAAATTGCATTACCATAGAATATTTATAATATATGAACAAGTTGGACCAAAGTTTAAATTCCTAATACGAAAAGTGTTTTATTTATTATCTAATCATATCTCGAATAAAATTTTCTCTTAGAACAATATGAAAAAGGAGATGAAGGACTAGTGTCACATGCTACTTTCGACAAAAAAATATATGATATTTTAATATTATTATACTTTAGAAAAAAATAAGATCTTACATTAAATAGAGATATTTTAAACTAAACTAACTAACTTTATTATTTATGTACTTATTAAATAGTCCTTAATTTATATACATTGATTTTAAATATCAATCATTTTTGGACTTGTACATATCACATTGATTGTAGGGATAGGGTACCCCAATTCATGTCAATCGTTGAGACATACTGAGTTGGATAATTAATCATGCTATGGAATCAAAGAGATCTCTGTTCAACACGTCTAATTTCATTAGTTTCTCTTTTCGTTTAAACGAATGCTTCACTTGTTAACATCTACAATTTTCAAATACTTTCATTAGTCTCGTAATATTTGTTATTTAAGGTAATATAAATTTTTTAAAATATTAATAATACAATAATATGAAAAGGAGAACGGAGAACATTGTCTCAATCATTCTCTTTCTGTTTTTTATTAATTAAAATTTATTTAAAATCACAAATTTTGATAAATCTTACTTTCCTATCGAAAGACTAAATAACAAGTGAGCTTCATAAAAATAAGTGATTTAAAAAAAAACTAGTATTATATAATAAAGGAAGTGTTAAAAAAAATATTGCTAGCATTCCTCACATAAAATAATTATCTACCACAAACTACTCCAATAACTAACATGTAATCTACATCTTGCACGTGCTTCTTCACTAAGCTGTGCAGAATTGCATGCATGCATGAATTATATATAGATGATAATTCAAAGATTAGTGATTGATTGTCTCGAGCTATATATAGCCTTATTTGATATCAGCATTTTTCAGGGAAATTTTACTCTTTTAGGTCGAGTCACATATACAATTGTACGTGTAGTCGTTTGCGCACATCAATCTTACATGGTCTCTGTGCAAATAAGCCCAAATTAGTCATTATATTACATTCATTCAAAAAACAAAGTTCTTCCAAATTGCATTATTGGATATGTTAACCCACTTGTTGCATATGTTAACCTAATTGTTTGCTCAAAGAAAGTGTCTGTCATTTGCATATTGGAACTTTATTATTGGATATTCCAAGTATCAAAGAAAGTCCCAGTCATTTGTTGCATATGTTAACCTAATTGTGTTGCTCAAAGCCTTAGCTACAATTATAAAGAAAGAAAAAAGGAAGTACACCACAATTATATGTTCTTCTCATCTGAAGAAATAACCCTCGCACGTAATCTAAGATTGCTAGATTGTGTGAACGGTCTTTCACGTCCTTCAAAGAAAGAGACTCCATGTTTAAATTTACTTCCAAATACAAACCCTGGCATTAAGATCATAATATATTAAATAGATAATAAAGTGTGGCTTAAACTTAACCCACTTGTAATATTAATTAGTAGTTATAACACATTAGGTTTGAATAGAGTGAGAAAAACGTGGGTGAGCATGGACTAATTTGCACCAAATAAACTAATTGATAATTAGGTGGTAATGGTACTTCATGTGATTAAAATGATGTGTTCAAAGGAAGTTGACAGGCACATGCGATATCTTGAAAAGGCTACACTTTGAAATGGAACAAAATGAATAATGATAGTCAAATGTAAAACTGCAAAAAGCTCGACCTTTTTCTTTTTGTTGTTAAATCTGAGCGTAGGGACCTCTTTTTTCTGTAATTTTTATTTTCTTTTGAGTGAGTTAAGTCGCAATCCATGTTCCCCATATGTTGTGTCTACAAACAAGTTATGTCGGCCATAGGATAATACAAACATCCACCTTAACTTTATTCATTTATTCTTAATTAATTAATTACCTTTGCTTTGACTGAGCAAGCCCTAAAATTGTCTTAGAATAGCTAGCTAGCAACCAAACCAAACCCACTATTTGTTGAGTTTGTTTGATTGTGTTTTCCTTTTATGTTAATTTATAATGACGAGGGAGTTGGAGGAAGTGTGGCTTTTGGGATGTGAACGAGAAATCGCATAATTAAGAAATTGTGGTTATTATATGTATGCATCTAAGTTTGTCTGACACTTGTTTCGAAAATAGTGTGTGTGGAAGGAATTATTATGATGTTTGGTTAACATTGTGATTGTGATAATGATGCGTGGACGAAGCCTCACGTGCTTTTCTGACCGCAGTGCTCCGGCGAAGCGTGCGGTTTAACGTCAGAATTAGATTGCATATATCTTTTTTTATTCCTCTCTCCACTCTTCCTCACTTTATATTATTTCCCACTTCATCTCAGATCTCTCTAAACACGTTCAGTTTTTGTTATATTCATGAATTCCAATTTATAATTGTAAAGGGTTACTTGTACTCTTTCAATATATAAATATAATTAGATCTTCACTTTGCTATTTTTTTCTCACACCGTTAAACCACGGTGTCTTTTTTAAATGCCTTAAATGGTGAGGGTATTTTTCTTGTTATATATTGTAAAGATTTCAACCATAATATATTATGAATATGACAGAGGTAAACTGATTATATTTTTTTGTAAAAAATAACATGAGCTTATTATAATAATTTATGGTTCGTTCAATCTATCGAGTCAGACTTTAATTATTTATGAACTTTGGTCAATCAACTGAGCTATACTTTTTAAATACTTGTTTGTTTTTCCTCTCTCTAGAAATTAAATTTAAGAAGAAAGTTAACCTGATTAATCTTTCAATTTGTGTCAGAAGTACTTGTACTGTTTTTCCTATTGAATACAACGTAAATATACTATGTTGCTAAAAAAAAGGTATTTTAAGGTGTCATTTGTATATATAGTTCATATACAGATTTTTTAACTTTTTATTATAATAAAAAATATTTTAAAATATTAAATAAATTATTCAGAAAAAATAAATCATTTTATTTTTTACTCATTCTCACTGTTTTCCAATTAATTTAAATAATTTTATTTATTTGTTTTTTAAAAATTTCTTCCTTACTTTCTTTTAAACAATCCAAATAAAGGTTTATTGATTAAACTTAATATGTTACTAAATAACATTTTATTTAAAAAAAAAATATGAGGCCATAATTCAAACAACGCTTTATTATATATTACTACTAATAACATTTTATACTTAAAAAAATAAAATACGAGACCAAGGTTGAGATGAGTCATTTTTGTATGGGTGACATTTATATAAGTTTATTCTTTATATATATATATATATATATATATATATATATATATATATATATATATATATATATATATACACACATATATATAATATTAAAATATTGAATTTTAATTGTAAAAATATTTTTTATTGATTATTTAATTTATAGCTCTCCAAAAATGAATTTATCTTATTCTTATTTTATCCATTGTATTATCATAATAAATTATATAATAATAATTTTAAAATTAAATAAATATATATCATATCAGTTCCACAAAGAATCAATCGTTTTTTAGTTACACAAATAATTCATATAATAATTATAGATTATATTAATTCTTTCATTAACTAATGTATCACATTGATTATTTGAGTATATAGTATTTTTTTTAAATATCATTTGCTGCACTTTTTTATTTTTTCACATATTTTTTTCTTCTTAAAAAGGAAGATATTATTATCTTCTTCTTTGCGCCACGATCTTGATGTAATCCTTTATTTTTATTTTTTTCTTTTCTTCAAATTAGAATCAAACACCTCCTTAAAATCATTATTGTGTTTGTCTATCTTCTTTGTAAGCAAACCCGTCACTTAAAACTCTCTTCACTGTAAATCTTGTCTCTCCATTATTTTTCCTCTTTAATCCTTTTGCAAGTTATCTTTCTCTTTTTGATATTATAGGTTGTTGCTAGTGTCCTTCCTCCACTATCACTAATTGAACTTCTACAAGGTTAATTTGTATTTTATTTTTTATATTTTTCATTAGATTTATTATATAATACCTTATTTATTTAAAAATATGTTTTTTTAAGTTTGCTAAACTTGATTTAATTATGAATAATAAATATTTTAGTTTTATTATATAAAATTTTAAAATTTTATAGGTCAAGAACAATAAAATTAGTAGTTTTTTTTAATATCACATGTTGATTCTTTATATAGTAAATGTTATGTGTACACCTTTTATATCAATTTTTAATTGATGTGAAAATTTATTTTCTTCTCTATCGATATCATTTCTATTGAATTAACAATCGATGTAAAATAAAATAAATAATAGATGGTATTTTTTAACTTTTGAAATCTAAAAATAATAATATAAAAATATATATTATAATTAAATTAAATCAAAGTCAACATTTATTCTAAGATGGCAATACCACGTTAAGCTAGTATCTAGGTTCTGACTGTTATAGTATCAAAAAGTACAGCACCATTTATTTCAATGCTGGTGAAAGTAATGTTGCAAACTCAGCACAAGCACAAACATTTTTAGGTGGAAATAAAAGCTCCTTAAAAAACAAGCTGGTCTCTACCACGAAGAAGTACTGAATTTTCATGAGTTAATTTACTATATATAGTTGAATCAAAGGTGTTTATATATATATATATAATTTTTATTTTATCTTTTTCGTTTTAAGACATTCGTTTCAACTTTGTGCATGCGGATATATGATTAGTCACTACCCAATATAAAGCTTTAATGATAAAAAATTACACCTTTATCCGTGAATAATCTAATTGACTAAAGATATATTGATAATTCAAAGTGAAAAAATAATAATCATTATATAAATATAATAAGTTATTAACTGAGTTTATTTCAACATATTATTCTTCAATCTAATTTATTGAAAAAAAAATACATGAAACTTACGAGGTTATTGTCTTGAAATTCAATTATTAAACGAGAGGAGCATAAATGACCATAAGCTTCCGTGGATGAAATGCATGTAGGCATGGTAACGGGGAGGTGGTTTTGCCTCCCGGCCCCGATCCCGCTCGAGTTAAAAATTAAGTTTTCATTCTCATTTTTGTTGGATTTTGGGTTTCTCACTCACGTCCTGTTTTCGATTTATATTATTTTTAAAAAGATAATTATATTTATAATAAATTAATTTTACTATCTATTTTTTATATACAAATAAATTTTTATAATTTATAATTATTATTAATTAAATATACATTTTAATTTATTATATTTATATTAAAATATGTATGTAAAAGAAATATTTAATCATTTTTTATTTATAACATTATTATTATTATTATTATAACACTATATTCAAATATTTGAATACTTATAATATTATTATTATAATATTGTATTCAAACATTTAATTTTATATATATATATATATATATATATAAGTTAATTCATTTTTAAGTTTTCATTTAAAAATATGAAATATATAATTTATAAGGAAATATTTAATAAGTTAATTCTTATTCAATTAGTTCGAAGTAATAAAAGTTTAAATTATCAATTCCTTTAATCCTTTAAAATATAATTATTTTATTAAGATAAAATTTGATATATGATAAATAAAAATAATAAGATAAAAAAATATGACATAATAAAACCTAATAAATATAAATTATAAATAAATAATATTAGTTACTACTAAGATTTATGTAAAATATTTAGAATAAGATAAAGAATAAAAAAATTAACTTTATGTTCATCAAATTGGTTGAAAAGATTGAAAAAAAAAACAAATTGATGGGAGAGATTAAGGAAATGTGAAAAACTAAAAGGTAAGAGAAAGAATAATGTAATAAATTAATTGATATAAAAGATTAAAAAAGAAAAAAAAAGTGGGTAGAAGAAAAAATTTTGGTTAAATATAAAAAAATAATCTTATATGTAATAGAAAAGAAAAAGAAATACTTTTTAAATATAAAGTCGAACGGGATGGGGACGGGGTGGGGATTGCATTACCCATCTCCGCCCTCACTCTCGACTTTTTAAAGCGGAAAAACTCGAACCCGCCTCGCCTCGGTCAACTCGAATTTTACCCATCAAACTTAGGATGGAGACGGTTCGATCCCTACGGGTACAAATTTAATTGACATCCTAATCCCTACGGTACAGATTTAATTCTCGTCCTAAATGCATTGTATATTTTTTTTTAATAAGGAAGACAGATGGACTACTTTATATGGGTCAAAAATTTCAGTCTCATAAAAAAATGGCTTAACGGGTCCGTGGTCAAAATTTTTTTTATATATAAAATTTTTTATATGTATTTTTATAAAAAGATATTTTTAATCATATAAATATTTTTAAGTTTTTATCTATTAATTAATATTTTTATTAAATAAATTTAAAAAATTATATTTATATATCAAAATAATTAATTATAATTAATAATTTAAATTTAATTAA